CAGGGGCCGGCGTCGTGGGACAGTGGATGAAGCCACTGGCGGCAATGCCGACATCCAATATAAGCACCGATTCTGGTCTCAGCTGCTCCCCTTCCAATCCAGCTCCCTGCTAATGCACCTGAGAAAGCATCGGATGATGGCCCAAGTGCTCGGGCCCCTGCACCCACGTGGGAGACCTGGGTGGAGTTTCAGGCCTGGCTTCAGCCTGACAATTTCAGCCATTTAGGGAGTGAACCAGCAGATGGAAGATTCCTCCCTCCCCTATCTCTCTCCTTCTCTCTCTGTTACACTGCCTTTCAAACACATAAATAAATCTTAAAAATAAAACAAGATGCACATGGCTCATGGCTCAGGCACTTAGGCTCAGTTTGAGGAGATAGAGCCCTCCCATTACACCTGCATTTGCTTTCCAGTGGTGATGGGGAGCTTGAATCAGGACGTGCTGAGCCAATGTGGCTGGGTGGGGCAGAGCCCCCGCTAGAGGGTGACAGCCCCAGCCTCGGCCGGGTGCTTCCCCTACTGAATTTCCTGAGGCTCAGGGCCTGGTGGTGTCCACCACATTAAGTCGTCGTGAGAATTAAAGAAAATAATATCTTTAAATTGCCCCTATTATAAATCTTTCCAAAGTGAGAATATCAACAAATAATTTATTTATATTATTTATTTGAAAGGCAGAGAGAGAGAGAGAAGAGAGAGATCTCCTACCAGCTGTTTCACTCCCCAAATGCCCACAACAGCCAGAGCTGGGCCAAGCCAAAGCTGGAGCTAGGAATTCAATCCAGGGGGCAGGGCCCTAAATACTTGAGCCATCACCTGCTGCCTCCCAGGGTGCGAATTAGCAGGAAGTTGGAGTTGGGAGTGGAGTCAGGACTTGAACCCAGGCACATAGATGTGGAATGTGCCTGCTTTAATTCCTCCACCAAATGCATGGCCCTAAAAATTTATTTTTAATTATGGCAAAAAAATAGCATAAATTGTACCATCTTAACCATTTTTAAACAACATTTATGTATTGACCTATTTGAAAGGCAAAGTAGGCTGGCGCCGTGGCTCACTTGGCTAAACCTCTGCCTGCGGTGCCAGCACCCTGGGTTCTAGTCCCGGTTGCTCCTCTTCCAGTCCAGCTCTCTGCTGTGGCCCGGGAGGGCAGTGGAGGATAGCCCAAGTGCTTGGGCGCCTGCACCCACATGGGAGACCAAGAGAAGCACCTGGCTCCTGGATTCGGATCAGTGCAGCGCGCCGGCCATGGTGGCCATTTGAGGGGTGAACCAATGGAAAAAAGGAAGACCTTTTAGGCCAGCGCCACGGCTCACTAGGCTAATCCTCCGCTTTGCGGCGCCGGCACACCGGGTTCTAGTCCCGGTCGGGGCACCGGATTCTGTCCTGGTTGCCCCTCTTCCAGACCAGCTCTCTGCTGTGGCCAGGGAGTGCAGTGGAGGATGGCCCGAGTACTTGGGCCCTGCACCCCGTGGGAGACCAGGAGAAGTACCTGGCTCCTGCCATCTGATGGATCAGCATGTTGCGCCGGCCGCAGCGCGCTGGCCGCGGCGGCCATTGGAGGGTGAACCAACGGCAAAGGAAGACCTTTCTCACTGTCTCTCTCTCACTGTCCACTCTGCCTGTCAAAAAAAAAAAAAAAAGATTATTACCTGAAATGTCACTTGGTATTTCTATTAAAAAGAAAGAAAGAAAAGCAAAGTGACAGAGAGAGAGAGAAAGAGAGGGAAAGAGAGAGATCTTTCGGTCACTGATCCACTCCCCAAGCGGCTGCAACAGCCAGGTCTGGGCCAGGCTGAAGCCAGGGGGCTGGAACTTCCCACATGGGTGGCAGGGGCCATCATCCACCGCTTTGCCAGGCGCATCAGCGGGGAGACCAATGGGAAGCAGAGCCAGGACTTGAACTAGCACTCCACCAGCAGAAGCTGGCATGACGAGGGGCTTAACCTGCGGTGCCGCCACGCCCGCCCCCATCCTAACCACTTTTAAGTGTCCAGTTCGGTGTTAAGTACATTCACATTGTTATGCAACCCATCTCCAGAACTTTCTCATGCCACGAAACTGAAACCGTATCCCCATTAACCCGCCTCCATTTCTCCTTCTCCTCGTCATGGGCACCCACCATTCTAACTTTCTGTTTCTGTGGGTTTGGCTACTGTAGATACTTCCTCCGGGGATTTTTCTTCCTTGGGACTGGCTTATTTCACCTCACATAACACTTCGAGGTTCATTCACATCATGGCCTATGCCAGAATTTTATTCTATTTTATGTCTGAATAATCTTCCGTCCCTCGGATGCCGCATTTTGCTAGTCCATTCACCCATCCACAGACATTCAGTTTGCGTCCCTGTCTTGACTACTGTGAATAACATTGCAACCAACAGGGCAGGGCGAACGTCTCTTCAGGATCCTGATTTCAACTCTTTTTGGATAAACACCCAGAAGTGGAACTGCTGGATCATATGGGAGTTCTATTTTTAAATTTTTGTGGAACTGCTCAACACTGTTTCCAATCCTGGTTGCATCATTTTGCAACCTCATCAACAGTGCACAAGGGTTTCCATTTCTTCACAGACTTACCAATATTGTTATTTTCGTCTTTTGGGATTTTTTTTTTTATTGTAGCCATCCTAATGGGTGTGAGAAACACAAAATCCCCTTTTGCAAAAACTATTATAATTTCTTCTCACCCTTCCAGCACTGCTTCTGATGAGTGTGATGGTGGGCTTGAGCAAGCGTTGAGTCAGAACAGTAGGTTTTCTCTCCGATCCTCGGTGAGCCAAGCAAAGCTGCCAGGGATGTCCGATCCATGGACCATGCCCGAGAAGTGCGCGTGTGCGTGGCAACGGCCAGGCGAGACCCCTCCCCTACTTGCCACCAAGGACGCAGAGTGTCCTCCAGGGTGGGCCAGAGCGCTTCATTCTCCTCCATGGCCTCTCACCACTGTTATCTTGCTCCTGACGGCTCTCCCAAGGCCACGCTCAGGGAAGACGTTGTTGTTCAAAGCGAGGGCTGTTTTGGTTCTGTTGAATAACTTTGGGCACAGGGCCACGAGGCAGCTCAAGGGTCAAAGTGAAGACGCGTGCACTGGAGCTCAAGGAGATCCTGCACTTTGCTTCTGGGTGGCAAGTGAGAGCGACCGCTCAGGCGCTACGCACAAGAAGAAATGTCAAGTTAGATGAGGCCGGAGTTCCAGTGCAACCAGGCTTCAGAACCCCTTGGCAACTGTGTGGTCCTGGGCAATCATCAAACCTTCTTGCCTCATTTTCCTTATCTGTGGAATGGGAACAAGAATGCAACCTCAGTGAATGGCTGTGACATCAGTATTATCTATTACAACAGCAATTATGAATGAAGCAAACATCTTCTGTGTGCCAGCGTCTTCTGGCGCACAGTGCGGCCCCACGGTCAAAGGCGAAGGCTCAGGAGCAGGTGCTGCAGCTCAGCGAGCCGCCTCCCCTGGAGTAGCGTGTGGACTGAGACTTGACTGGCCATGCTTCTGCTCCAGCTTCCTGCGGGTGTGCTTGGGAGCAGCAGATGATGGCCTGGGTGCTGAGTGACAGCTTCGGCCTGGCCCAACCCTGCCTGTTGGGGGGCATTTGGGGAGGGGAACCAGCAGATGGAAGAATTCTCTGCCTCTTCCTGTCTTTCAAATAAATAATTAAGAATAAAGGTTCGAGGGGACAGTGCTGTGGCACAGCGGGTTAACGCCCTGGCCTGCAGCACCGGCATCCCATATGGGCACCAATTTGTGTCCCAGCTGCTCCTCTTCTGATCCAGCTCTCTGCTATGGCCTGGGAAAGCAGTAGAAGACAGCCCAGGTCCTTGGGGCCCTGCACCCTGCAAGTAGACAGGAGCCCTCTTTGTCCCTGTTTCTGTCTCTCGAGTCAAAAAAGAAACATACAGACAGGCACAAAAGGGAAGGAAGTTGCCGGGGTTAGCCCTACCTTGGCTGAAAGCCCAGATCTGCTACTTGCTAACCAGGAGAACTCAGGCAATGCTGTTAACCTCCAGGCCTCAGTCTGTGCATCCATAAATGGGGATGATGAACGGGAATGACCACATACGTCTCCCAGTTTGACATGGGCCTTGGGGGGCGCTGAGTAGGGATGCTCGCATTTGACAAGTGGTCCTAACGTGCCTACTGCATGCCAGCACTGGGCTGCCGCAGGCAGTCAAGGACAGAGTGGCCACTACCCTGAGTTTGGGAAGTCAGGCTTGCGTGGACCATGCAGGAACAGAAGCAGCTGGCCTGCACACTGAGTCGAGACGGGGCTGCAGGCTGCCTTTGCAAAGGGCCTTCACAGAGCACAGAGGTGGCTCTGACTGGGGAGGGTGTGAAAGCTTCCAGCACCTACCTCCGCCCCTTTCTCCAGCCCCCTGTGGCACCTGGGCTTGGGAGAAGGCGGCATTCATGTCTGTTAGGTTCGGTTTTTTTTTCCCCAGGGCAAACGGGAGCATCTCTGAGCCAGAGTGTCCTGGTGCATGCCTTGGCCCAGAGGAGGGGACTCCGTAGAACCAGGGAGGGGTCGGAGCTGCTGCTTGGCTGGGAAAAGCTGATCCGGCTGTGTCCGGGGGCGGGGAGGGGGGGTTTGAGGACCACCCCATGGACCCCTGCTCTGGAGTCAGTCTGCCTCGCACCTGGCTGTGCACTCACAGGGGCCGGTGCCTGGGCTGGGGACCTCCGTGCCACTGTGTCCACGTGGTTTGCGCTGGGGGTAAGGGTGGGGGTGGGCATGCCTGTGCCCTCAGGCCCCCAGCCCCAGTCACCAGGGACTGGTGTTGGAGCTCGGTAGGGCCGGCGTGGCCCAGACACCTCCCGGGACAGAGTGGGGCTGGGGGAACGCAGCGTGGCCCACCCCAGCGGCTGGGCCTTCGGCTGGCCCCGGGGCGGTTGAGCTAGCGCCTCCCCTGCCCCCACACTCGGCGGCGGCGGGGTCTGCGGGGGCGGAGGTTTTTTCCAGACGTGTACTTAAGCGAGGAGAGAAAACAAGGCCCGTCGCCCGGGAATCGCCTAGGCAGTACGCAGGAGCGCAACTCGGGAGGCCAAAAATAAGCGGCCGGTGAGGGTCACCGTGCCCCGCCGCCGGCTGCCCGCGCTCCCCGCGCCCCCGTCTCCTGGAGCCCGCGCGGCCGTGAGTAACGGTGACTCAGGCGCAGGGAACACCCCAGTCAGCCAGGGACAGCCCTGCTTCCCCCTGCCGGTCGCCGGCCCCGCCAAGGGAGGAATTTTCGGAGTTTTCTCGGGAACTTTGGCAGAATTCGATGGGAACTTTGAGAGGAAGCCTAAGGCTTTGGGAATTTTTTTGGCGGGGGGGTGGGGTACTTTTTCTTAAACTTTGTATCTATTTATGAAGGAGCTGTTTTTCTTTTTCTTTTTCTTTTTTTTTTTTTAAAGATTTATTTATATGAAAGGCAGAGGTAGAGAGAGATCTTCCATCTGCTGGTTCACACTTCAGATGACTGCAGCAGCCAGGGCTGGGCCAGGAAGAAGCCAGGAGATACGAACTTCATCCGGGTCTCCCATGCAGGTGCAGGGACCCAAGGATTTGAGCCATCTTCTACTGCTTTCCCAGGCCATAGCAGAGAGCTGGATGGGAAGTGGAGCAGCCGGGACTAGAACCGGCGCCCACATGGGATGCCAGAGCTGCAGGTGGCTGCTTTGTCCGCTGCACCACAGCGCCGGCCCCTGTCTGTGTATTTTTGTATTTCATCAAAGCCAAGGGCCCGTCCGTCATTAAGCCATGGCATGCCCTGGTGGTGGAAATGTTGGAGCGGGGATCCATTTTCATCCTCTTAGAATCCATGAAAAACAGGAAGTGACGCTCATCCCTGTCACCCTGGCTTTGCAGACGGGGGAAACTGAGGAACAGAAAGGGAAGTCCGCCCAGCGGCACACGGTGAACGTGCAGAGAAAGCAGGGTCTGGACCCAGAGCAGGACCCCACAGCTGCGCTCGCCATCCACGCACTCCGGTGGGGCGGGGGGGGGGGGGGGGCAGGGGTCTGCTGAAAGAGATCTAAGTGGAAACCAGGGCCCCACCCTCTGGCGCCTCCTGGACCCCAGCCCGAAGGCCAGTGACCCCAGGGCCTGCTGATGTCCCTCCTGGAAACTGCTCTTGGACCCCGCTGTCCCCTACCCCTGGACATGCTGCAGAGACAGGTTCTTCACGTGCAAGTCTGACCGTCACCCGGCCCAGAAACCGCTGAAGGAGCAGCGCAGAGGGCGCATTTGTCCCCTCGCTCAGTTCTCTTGGGGCCTCCTGTCTGTGGCAGGCCCAGTGCTGGCCCAGTGGGCGGTTATGACACGATATGAAAAATGCTTGCGATTGGGGGGTGTGGAGGGGTAGCCGCCCTGGGGACCGCGCTGTGAAGGGCAAGATGCCGAAACAAACACCTGCGGGGTGAGTGGGGATGCTTCAGGGAGCGGCTGATGCCAAGGCCCAGCATGGGGGGGTGGGGCGCAGGTTGGGCTGGGCGGGGCTCGCACAGGCCCCACCTTCCTCTTTCAGACTCAGCTGCCTTATCTTCCTTGAGGACCCCACAGATGGAGGGACCAGTTTCCCAAGGGGAAAAGCCACTGTGGCCGTGTGGGGAGTGAACCAGCGGATGGAAGACCTCTCTCTCTGTCTCGCCTTCTTTCTGACTGTAGCTCTTCACCCACTGTCTGCAGGTGTCTGCCCCCACCCCAGATGCTACTGGAAGGCTGCTGACCCCTGGGTGAGCTCTGAGCTCTGAGCCTGGCCCAGGAAGCCTGGCGGTGAGGGGTGGTCTCAGGTTCATCCAGGGAAATTTTTCAGCATTTGTCAGAATTCAACTGAGTACAAACCAGAGTTTGTTATTCAAAAAAGATTGATTTTATTTTAAAGGCAGAGTAGTAAAGAGAGAGCGACAGAGAGAGAGAGATCTTCCATCTGCTGGTTTGCTCCCCCCAAATGGCTACAATGGTCCAGCAGGCCAGTCTGAAGCCAGGAGCCTGGAACTCCATCTGGGTCTCCCACATGGTTGGGAGCAGCCCAAGCACTTGGCCCACCTTCCACTGCTTTCCCAGGGAAACTGGATCAGAATCAGAGCATCTGGGACCAAACCAGCCCTCATATGGTATGCGGTGTCACAGATGGCAGCTTACCCGCTATGCCACAATGCCAGCCCCCAAACCAAAGTTCTTATAAAGGCCTATATGACCCCCACTCAATGTGGGCTCCTCTGCCTCTGACCCACTGCCCCTCCCCTTGCTAATCTGCTTCAGTCATGCTTAGGTACTCGCTGTTCCTTAAACACCCCCCCAAAAGCCACCCCAGGTCCTTTGCACTTGCTCTTCCACAACGCAACTCCCTTCCTCCTCTTCCTCTTAATCAGATTCACTGCAATGTTATCTTCTCAGACAAGCCCACCCTGAACAACCTATTTAAAGCTGAAATCTCCCCCACCCCAGCCCCTGGGCTGGCGTTATGGCGTAGTGGGCTAACCCTCTGCCCGTGGTGCCAGCATCCCATATGGGCGCTGGTTCAAGTGCCTACTGCTCCACTTCCAATCTAACTCTCTGCTATGGCCTGGGAAAGCAGTAGAAGATGACCCACGTCCTTGGGCCCCTGCTCCCATGTGGGGGCCAGGAAGAAGCTCCTGGCTCCTGGCTTCGGATCGGCGCAGCTCTGACTGTTGCAGCCATCTGGGGAGTGAACCAGTGGATGGAAGACCTCTCTCTCTGCCTCTCCCTCTCTCTGTAACTCCGCTTCTCAAATAAATAAAATAAAATTAAAAAAAAAAAAAAACACAACCCCCATCCCATTTTCTTCGTTGGCTTTGTTTTTTCCTCCGCGCACTGGGTGTCTTCAAGAGTTTATGTGATTCACCTGTTTATTTGTTTACAGGCTGACTTTCCCCGCAGGAATGTGAGTCCCAGGAGAGCAGGATCTGGAGCATCCCTAGCGTCTAGCACAGCACCTCGCGTGTGAGTGTGGCAGGTGTGCGGCGAATGCCTGTTGGTCAAACACGTGGATTCTGAGTTCCGTGTGCCTAGCAGGCTGTGCCCTGGTCACCATGCAGGACGGAAAGCTGAGGAACAAGGCCTCTGCCGCTCCGGGGTGCCTGCTGAGCTGGTTCCGTGGCAGTGGGACAGGTCCCCGGCAGCCAGGTGAGTCCCGAGTGAATCACCGCTAATGAGATGGTAAGGGCCACGCCAAGCGGCTTCCCACACAGGCGGCCGACAGGTCACTGCCTGTCGCCGGGAGACTCCTCAATAGGGATTGAACAGGACCCTGGGCTGGGGTGGAGGAAGTGCCTGCCTGGAGACCCCACCCATTCCTGAGCACTGAGTCGGCTCACCTGGGCTCCCCCAGCCCCCGGGCCTTGGCCACGGGCTGGTTTCTCAACCTTGGCTCCGAGAGGATTTCCTTCCTAAAAGGAGTTTCGGTCACCCTCCCCGTCCCACGCCCCTCCCGGGCAGAGCCTGTTTGTCAACCCGTCCTGTGTGGGTCCCTGAGCCTGCGGAGAGAAGACAGACTCCGCGCCGCCTACGGAGGGGCCGCTGACCATCACGTGTTAAGTGTTTGAAATGCACAGGACCAGTAAGGCTTATGGAGCCCCTGGGACGGTGGGGATGGCCTCTGAGGCCACGTACCGCTGCCGCATTGGAGCCAGGGGCCCACGAGAGCACCTGCCCTAGCACGGGGCGGGTGACCCTCCCAGGACAAGGCCTCACTTCTGCATCTGCAGAGCGGGCAAAGCCTTCTGCCCTGTGGGTGGCTGCAGGGCTGGGTGAGATCATGGGTACACAGGGCACGGAATGCAGGTGGGTAGCCAGGCCTCACCCTGCACCTCCCAAGCTGTGGCCCAAGCGGCAGATGTCTGAGGAGGAGGCTGGCAGGGCCCCTGTCACTGCATCAACTTGGTCAGGCCATCAGCACCTCCTTCCCTTCCTCTCCAGAGAGGGGGACCCCTAGGGGTCCCTCCAGGCCCTCTTGCCCCAGAGCCCAAATAGCCCCTGGCTGGGTGGCCCTGCCTGGCTGCCTGCTGAAGTCCCACGTCTCCACCCGCAGTGATGGCATCACGTTGGCACTCACACGCCCTTAGCTGTCAATGAACTTGGCGGTGAACTTGCTGGTCAGTCATCCATCATCACAGGGCACAGTTCCCCCTGGGGGATGGGTGCCAAGATGGTGGACCACGGCCTTGTTGCAAAGGGCACACAGGCGTAGGAAGGCAGTGAAGACACCAGTCTGCGGGGCTCTGGGGAGGGAGGTGCTGACAAGGGTGGGGCGCCAGGCAGAGCCCCGCGGGGAGCTGTCAGTGTGCCCTGCTGGCCGGCTCTGGTCAATCCCCGGAACGGGCCTGTGGTGCTGGTGGCACAGGTGGGTGTCATCATGCCCATTTGGTGGGTGACAAAACTGAGGTTTCAAAGAGGCAAAGTGATTTGCCCCGGGTCCGAGCGGTTGTGAGTGGCAGAGATTGGCCAGTTTCTCACCCTCCCCTCCTCACCGTGTGCCGTGGTCTCTGGGGCCCTGCCTTGGGTTCCCTCCTGCCTTCCTGAATTCACCTGCACAGCACACGTGGCACGGGTCCTTCCTCCATGCTGGGCACCACATCCAGGCCCGGGGCCCTCGAGTGTGGGAGGAAGCCATACGTGCAAGTACAGACGATGGAATCTTCTGCCCAGCTTGCGTGCACTCGGCTGAGGGCTGTCCCCACGGCAGCTTCCGCCTCCTGGGGCCGTGAGCAGCACTCTGAGGGAAGGGGACACGGGACGGGAATGACGAGGGGCCCTGTGGTGTTCTAGACTCCCGGAGAGAGGGGGCTGGGAGGGCATTTCCAAAACAGGTCACATTTGCTTGTGGTTGTGTCTGAGTCGACATTTGAGGAGGGGAGCTCTGTGCGTGTTGGAGCAAACAGGCCAGGCAGAGGAATGGCAGGTGCAAAGGCCCTGGGCCGGTTCTGAGGCCCATCAGGGAGTGGCGGAGTGGCAGGAAGTTAGGGCAGGGTGGTCGTGGAGTGGAGGTGGCACAGCACCTAAGGCCTTCTAGGTCCCAGTGAGCTCTCTGCCTTCACTCTGAGTGAGACCGGGCCCAGGAGCGGTTTGAGCTGAGACGTCACCTGATGTGACCTTGGTGTTAAAGGGCTGTCTGGCCGCTATGCAGAGCAGACCTGCAGAGGTGTTTGAAGGTAGCCCGGACAGTGTCTGCACGCCCGCTGGCTGTGCGCGGTCCAGAGTGAGCCCGGCTCCCTGCACTTCAAGACGGGGGCTCTGCCTAGGCCCTACCCAGCCGGGGAGGGGGAGGGCTCATCCTCCACCCGGATGGGGCACGGCACAGACATGGCGCCACCCCCGGCTGATGGCACTGGGTCCCTCTTGCCCCCTTGGGGCTACTTGTACCTCCTTGTTCGTGTCCATGAACCGGGCCAAGCAGGCTGTCATCCCCGGCCCGGCCTGGCCGGGACCCTCCCCAAGCTGATGTGCACTTTAGAGAAAGCAGTCTGTCCAGACAAATGCCCTTGACCCAGTGAGGCCCTGGCCCGAACTTCCCGGGCAGCCAGCGGAAGTGCAGGCAGCACTTAATGCGTCAAGCCCTTCACCGCAGGCTTATCCAGAAAAGTGGCTGACACAAAGCAGCAGCCTGGCACTGGATGGTGTTGTCCTAGTGTCATGGGGCCAGGCCTGGCCTCGCGCGGGATGCAGACGCACGTGGGAAAGCACCAGGCAGATGCCGATTTGCTCCGAGCCGCTGGAGGCTGGATTGCAACTCTGTTTTCTTCTTTACATTTTTTTTCTGCATTGTATTCGTGTTCCAAGGCGGCCTGCATTACTTTTAGGATAAGCTGATTAAAAATTAGTTTTTTTTTTTTTAAAAGGGAGACAGGACAAGTGAGTTCCCAGAAGCCGGAGAGCGGTGGAAGCCAAGCCAGGAGCAGAGAACTTAGTGACCCATCCCTTCCAGGCAAAGCCACGTGGAGCTCACAGGCCCAGTGCCCGGGGCCCTGGGTGGACCTCCTCCCGCCGCCGCCGGCGCCACAGAGGGGGCGGGGCGGGGCGGTGCTGACAGTTGTGGTGGGAGACAGGGTCCAGAGGCCCCTCCTCCTCCCACTCCAGGCCATGTGTGTGGGGGTGTTTCCCCTCCTTGGGCCCCCGGAGCCCTTGGAGTCGGCCCCTCGCTCGCTCCTTCTGTCTGCCTGTTTTTCGTGCTGGCCGGAGGCTGGCTGCTTTGTGCCTTGTGGGTAACTTGTGACCTTGTGTGTGTCCCCTGAGGACACAGACTCGACCTGCACCCAGGGGCTCTCCACATGTGAGTCCCAGGCGGACACCTGGGGATTGGACAGCCATGCATATCCCCAGGCCCACCGCCAGCGGTCTAACTGTGACCAAGTTGCAGCCTGTCTTGGACAAGGCCGCCCGGCTCAGCTCTGACAGCCACTGCCCCACGGCAGAGTTCCCCTGTGGCCCACGGTTCACGCGGGGTCAACCTACAGATCCCCATGCGTCCCACTTAACAGACAAGGAAAAGAGCTCAGAGAAGCTAAGAGACTTGCCCCAGGTCACACAGCCAGACAGCCAGCGTGGGACTTTAGCCCAGGCTTTTAGCCGGAGCTGTCCTGTTGGGTTCAGCTTAGCACTGAGCATACCGCCTGCCACTGACGTGGGTTGGGCTGGAGTGTGAACCCCGCCACGGCAGAGTCCTGGCTGCTCGGTGGGAAAACCAGACCGACTCCTCTGGGGACCCAGGCAGCCCTGCCCCACTGTGGGTTGGGGGGGTCGGGGCGCCAGTGTGCCTGCTGAGGCCCACTTGGTCCTGACAGCCTGTGGCAGCAGAGTGGACCAACAAACGCAGAGGAGGGGCGCAGCGCCACCTGCTGTCCAGAGGCCGTGGTTGGCAATGCTGGGGGACAAATGCAGGAACCCGCAGACACACATCTCAGGGACACCCGGTAGGCGTGCACGTGTCACCTCCTGCTGCACGCGGGCATACACGTCCACACGTGGATGCCTGGGCCTGTGGGCACGTGGGGCTCTCAGCCACAAGGCCTGGTAGCTCACACACATTTCACCTGTTTGTTCATTTGTTCCTGCATCAGAGTTGGAGATGTGTGGAGCCCACAGCTGCTGCCACCCTGGAGACCCCAGGCTGGGGTGGTGGCCAGGGGACAAGGCCATCCCAAAGGCACGTGGGTCAGAGTTTCAGAGGGGTGCACCCAGTGAGCCCCTTCCCATCTGCACTGGGGTTGGGTCCCATAGGGTGGGAAGGAAGTGGCCGGGTGGAGGAGGCAGAGGCGCAGGCAAGCAGAGCGGGAGGCAAGGTCTGGATTCTGTGTCCACAGGTGGGGGCCACACCCTGGGACCTACCACCCTGATGCCTTTGTGTGCAGCTTAGGGCCCAGGACCCCAGGGTGTGTTGCCCCTTCTGTGCTGGCCCCCTGGAGGTCATCTGTCCCTGTGCACTGGCTCCCCTTCTATGGCAGTTGCCCTCTGCATGGCTGCCATGGCGGAGCGCCTGCTTTCTAGTCCAGAAAGGAGCAAGCGTCCCACGTGGCCTGCCAGTGCTCTCTGTTTAACTCACGGGGCCATGGAGCCAGCGCTGAGTGCTCCCGTGCCACGAGCACCCAGTGTCTTCCCACTGGGCACCCTCTGAGGGCCGGGACCTGATGGATCAGCTCTGATGGGTGGTGGGTGCCTTGGGGAATCCAGAACACTGAACCACATCACCCTGGTTAGAGGACAGCGGGCAGTGGGGAGGGAACCCCAGGCAGCACGGAGGCCTCCGTGGAGGAGGTGGCAGGGAAGAACAAACGTAGGCCACTTCCCAGCCCTGAGCCTGGGCATACAGAAAGCCCGTGACTGCCGAGGGCTGCCCCTCCAGCCGCCGGCCCGGCCTGCGGTTTCTCTCGGCCGTGCTGGGTGCTGGCTTCCGAGAAACCCCAGCACTTTCCTGTTGGGCGACTCCAAGTTCCTCTTACGGAGGAAGGGGAAGTGGTGGCATTTCTCCTAAGGGCTTTCAGTTTCTTTCTGCGAAGCTGGGGTGTCCCAACCCCGGGGGGCCTCTGCAGAGCCAAGGGTTCAAGGAAGTACGCTTCCGTTCAGGGGCCTCCCCACCTCTCTCCCAACCGAAGCTCGTGTGCGGGGACCGCGGTGGGTATTTCTGGAAATGC